TTATCACACAAAACCAAGTTTGTGTTTGACTTGTACTCCGACGTATACAAATCAACTATCTTATCTAAATTTTCTTTTTCGCCAACTGAAATTAAAAAAGATAATATTATTAATAATCAAAATTGTTATTAATATTTTAAAAATCTCATTCTACATTTTAAATTTTTTATATTAGAAAAGAAAAAATACATTTATAAAAAATGTAGAACAAGATTTTTCAAATGCCAATAACACTTCCCTTATAATCGCTAAATAAATTTAGACCATTTTTGTGGATTTTTCTTGATTGACAACCACATGCGTCTTTGTACCTGGATGATCAATTTAATATTTTAGAAGCTGGAAAAATATAAGGATATGTTATCGTCCCGGTGTATCTGTCTCACCCTCGTTCCTCACTTTGATAATGTGATATGGTGGAAGCTCGTCATGCCTGCTAGCTTGTGCACTGCATCCATTACTCTTATTGCTTTAATTGCCCAACTCCACAATTATGGTGGTTTTCATGTTTTTAATAAAATTCCATGCAGCCGCTACTTAGGAATATGGTCTTGTCACTTAGTACTATAGTTTAATGATATTTCTATTCACTTGTAAATAAAAGGTTTAACATTCGATTCTCACTAAAGATGAATTTGAACCACATTATTGCTAGCCTATTGTGAGACTAAGTTCACCCCCTACAACTTAGTATAAATAATATCGTTTGTTCAAAAAAAAAAAAAATTCCATCCAGCCACTATATTTTATTATTCATAGACATTAGTTATATATTAATATATAAGCGCTATGATATTGATAATTGTGTATGATATATATATACACAACACATGCCCTTTAAGAAGAGGGATTTCCATTTTTTTCACAAAATGGGATTAGTTGTGGGATCCACTCTACATCGAACTTCAACGATTCAAACAACCTATTCTGTAAGTCTTGATTCATAGATCATCCTTACAAAAATTCAATTCAATCCAAAACTATTTACCTATTATACTATCACAAAGAAATTTCATTGTTTCTTATAGAAGAAAGTGTTCGTCAATTTTTTTGAACTCAATTAAATGTCTTAAATATCAATTTCATTAATATTTTGCAAAGATCATCTAAGAGGTGCAACTTGAAAAATAAACTATTAGAATCTTTAAAGTTTGACATGATGTAAATCTCACTAATAATCCTCATTTTAACAGTAAAATAGAGATCCCTTTCTTTATATTGATGATTAATCTAGACATATAAATCTTCATATATTTATATATATATATATATGGGTTAATCTCAGTTTATTATCTTAAAATTTTTAGATTTTTAACATTTGGTACATGAAGTTTTTTTTATCCTAGAGTGATACATAAAGTTATAATTTTAACACATTTTCATACATCTGTTAAAACTGTTGTTAAGTTTGCCGTTAACGGATGACGATGTGACATTCATATAGACATGATCGGGCACCATATGGATATTAAAAAAATAAAATAAAATAAATAAATAAATAACTAAAAAAATTTTAAAAAGAAAATTTGGGCGTCTTCTCCCTCACGCCTTCCACCCCCCTCCTTTCTTTCCTCTGCACCCACCGTTCCCCCTCCCTCTTGAACACCACCCACTCCATTTCTCTCTCTCTCTCTCTCTCTCCCTCTCCCCCACATCTCTCTCCATCAATGGCCTCCTCCAAGTCCAAATCTCCTAAACCCTATCAGGCTTCGGATCTCCTCCTGGACCACGTCTCCGCCCGTTTCTTCGGCCTGGCGGCATCGCTTGGACCGCCTCCTGCACTGCTGCTCATAGCCGCACACAATTCCTGCTTCTCCCCCTCGCCACCGCTGCTCTGCTGCTGCTCTCGTTCGTTTTGGTTTTGGTGGTGAGGTGGTGCTCTCCCATTCACCGCCGCCACCTCCATCATCATCTCTGTCTCCGTTTCTTGGTCTAGTCCTCCTCCCTTGTATAAGTCAACGACGCGGGGCTTCTCCGAGAGGTACATATCGGATTGCTACTGGCTGGGGTTTGAGGGTGTAGGGGAGTGGATTGGCATACGGGTGTATTGGATAATACGGAGCGGAGGAGGAAGACGGGACAAATTAAGGACAAAAGATAGAGAGAAAGATGGAGGGGGAAGGGTGGGTGCAGAGGAGAGAAGAGGAGGAGGAGGGGGGGCGGGGCGGGTTTCAGAAGGGGTGAGGGAGAAGACGTTCAATTTTTTTTTTTAAATTTTTTTAGTTTTTATTATTTTATTAATTTATTTTTTTAATATCTACGTGGCACTTGATCATTGTCTAGGTAGATGCCAGATTATCAGTTAACGGCAAATTTAACAGTAACCTTAACGGATATATACAAATGTCTCAAAATTATAATTTTATATATCATTCTAAGATGAAAAAGACTTTATGTATCAAATATTGAAAATCAAAAAATTTTAAAATATTAAACTGAGATTAACCCTACACATACAGTCGATTTATTTACATCAATCTTTCAGTTTGAAAGGAGATTAGATTTGAATAGCATCTTATTAATGTTGAAATTTTATAAAGTTATGATTGTCCACGATTTGATGCAAAGAGAAATGAATTGTGGTCATTTTCTCTAGCGTGGGCAGTGCTTTTAATAATTGGATCTTTAGGTACTTACACGAGAGTTGTTGTCACAGTTTCAAAGCCCTAGGCCCCTAGCAACCTGTCTTTAAGGATATATTTTTTAATGTAATCAGTACATATAATGGTATATTATGTGTTATTATATAAATGATGAAATATGTATGTTAAAAAAATTAATAACTTAAAAAATAAATTTTCCCACGAAAATCAATTTGGCGTTGGACCTACGAAAACAAAAGAATAAACACTACAATCTGGATAATTAGTTATTATTCTATGCTAAACAATCCTCACTAAGGATTGGTTTTTATAGTGTGTTCGAAACAAAGAATAGAACACAATATGTCATTCTACAATTGGAATGATACTTTAAAAAAAAAAAAAAAAAAAAAAAACTTTCCTTCAACCATATTTTGACATGTAATGTTCCACGCACATTGAAAAATATCTCACTAAGAGCTCGTTTGAAAGTGTTTTTAAAATAATTGAAAGCGCTTTTGGTGAAATTGATTTTGGGTTCCAAAAAGACTTCAAATAATTTATAGAAGAAGCACTAGATATGTGCTTCTTGCATGAAGCACTTCAAGTGTTTTTTAGAATCTACTTAGATTTTTACTAAGGGTTAGTTTCAAAAACATTTTCACCAAAAACGATTTCAATTATTTTAAATACACTTTCAAACGAACTATAATTTCATGTACATTATCTGATAATTAAATGGTGATTCAAATTTTTTGTTCACTTCAAAAGTTCAAATTTCATTTTTCTTACATATATTAGTACTTAACTTCAATTCAAAAGCCAAAACAAGTGTGCAAAAAGTGAAGAAATGTGTGCATAAACCATTTCATATTGGCAAAATGTAAATAAATTTTTTTTTCTTGCATTAGTAGTTAACTTTAAATTAAGAATTGATTTTTTTTATTCGTCTAAAGGCAGATTGGGGGTTGCCTCATTTTTTTTTAAAGCAACTTCTTAAAATAGTTGGGGCTAAAATTGCTTGGTAAACAAATATTTAAGTTTTTTTTATTTTTAAATTATGGGTCTAAAACAACAAAAAGTCTCTACCCATGCTTCTAAAAAAAAAGTTTATTTTTTTATTTTTTTATTTTTTTTCAGAAGAGACGGGTGACCAGTACCAATTAATGAAGCTTTCTTACTGACAATCATACCCCATCTCTTTCTCCTAAACCTAAAGCACCGTTTTTTGCTAAAATCACTTTTGGCACTATAATTTACTAAGCACTTATCTACAACAAAGGCAATTCTTTTTATTAAAAAAAAAAGAAAAGAAAAGAAAAAAAGAACAACAATTCCAAACTAGCTCTAAATATGTGACAAAGACGGTTGAGATATCATTTCAACACCAATCTAACTAGCTAAGGTTTTCATGCTAAGCCCACTAATTAATGCATCCGGGCCATTAAAATTTATTCCGACGATTACAAACAAGAGTCTCTTCTAAAAGTTATAATAATTATAACCATTGAATTATATTTCAATGGTCCGGATGCATTGATTAGTGGGCTCAGCATGGTTGGATCTGGAGGAGATCCAGTTCCTTCACTTTACATGGTTGATATGTAAGGACAAAAAAATTCTACTTTGAATTCCACTATTTATTGACCACTATTGATACGAGAGAGAGCCAGAGGAAACTTTTATTTAGACGTCCAAAAGAGATGGTTGCGATCTTGCAATCAAACTTCTCCAATCTTCTATTTTTTTTTTTTTTTATTTTTTTATTTTATATATATTTTGGCATATTACATTATGAAAGTTGCGATCAATTTCTTTGTGACTTGTTACACAGTCATTAGCTGACAACAGGAATTCATGTCGATTGATAAAATCTTTGCTCTCTTAGTAAACCCAAAAGGCACAGAAAATTCTCCTAGCGGGTGTTTTTATGACAAATAACAGCATTAGTAAGTTAATTTGTAAAATGTTAAAAGAGAGAGATTGGAATGGGGACTGAACTCACACCAAAGTATATAGGCATTATTGCTTTCACTACTACAATAAAGCATCAACTGCAACAAAGGTTGCTTAATAGGTTTTGGGTTTGGCTTTTATAGATGAAGAGAGGTTTTAAGTTCGAACTTGTTGAACAAATGATGTTATCTATAATCAGTGGTAGAGGGTGGGCTTAGCTTTACAATAAGTTAGCAATAATATGGTTCGATTCGTCTTTGACGAGAATTAAACCTAAAAACTCTCACTTACAAGTAAAAAGGAATATCCTAAACCGTAGCATTAATTTATTATGATTGTCTCATCATGTAAATTATCCAAAACTCCCACCACATAAATATATTTTTTATATAAAAATATTTTAAAAAAAATGTTCGAGACCCTAATCCATATAAATATACCTGCTAGGTTTAGGGTTAGGCACCAAACGACAAATACAACGCCCCACGCAGTCCCCCCTATCCTTGTTTGGATAATTAAAGTACTGAATTCATAGAGTACCGAATACCCTTTATTGAGCTCACAATCCAATTACATTAACACACAGGCGGATTAGGGTTTTCTGAAGCATGAAGAAGCGTCAAGTGGTGGTGAAACGAGATAGGTCGGAAAGGAGCTCGAGTACTTCATCTTCAATGGTGAGAATTGTGAGGTATGGCGAGTGCCAGAAGAATCATGCTGCAAAATTAGGAGGGTATGCTATCGATGGATGTAGAGAATTCATGGCAAGTGGTGAGGAGGGGACAACTAAGGCTCTTACATGCGCTGCTTGTGGTTGCCACAGAAATTTCCACAGAAAAGAAGTGGAAACTGAGGTTGTTTGTGAGTATTCTCCACCCAGTTCTTATCGCTAATAGTGTACTTAATAATCAAATTATTCGTGTGTATAGGGACAAAAAGGGTCTTTTGATTTCTGAAATTTACTGCTTGTGGATTGTTCTCGACTTGTATATCGATATCATTGTCAACAGATATTTGACTCTATATGGAGATAATTAATCAAACTTTTAATTTGATATTGCTCAAAAGAAATAATTCTCCACAGTTGTTGTGTACATGTTCTTGAGATATGGTTATGGCTTCAGAAACTAAGACATACATCATGCTTTGATTAAGTTTGAATCTTTTATTTTCTATAAGATTTATTCATGGTTTCTGTTTTTTTCTTTGTTTGTCTTTGAATTTCTTTGAGAATTTATCGAAATGAAAATATCATAGTTCAACTATATATTGTTTGTTGACATATATATATATCAAAATTAGGATAAAATATACATCAAAACTAGAAGGGAAAGATGGGGAACTTCACCAATTTCCTACCAATATATTGATTGAAACTTCTTTTCAGGATAGGTGTATCAGAATAATTGATCTCCTACATCATCAATGGTTTAATTATTTTTAGCTCCAAAACACTGATCATTTTTCTTTCAACATGAATATGTTTGAATATGTGATAACTTCTTAAAGGCCCACACATCCAATCATGTATGTTATCAGCACATTAACCTATTTAAAATTTGTTCAACAAAGCTAAGCTTAAAATAAGAGAAATTATAGTACTATAGTACTGTGGAGTGTCCCTCCTCTCTACTTTTTGGTCAGGGTACGACTCGACTCAGTGCGAGCAGTGCAACCGTCCGGGGTCTAAAAAAATTGGAAGCACCAAAAATATTAGGATGAGTTTATGTTATATTCGTATAAATAGTAAGTAGTTTAATTCATTATCAAAGTGTTTTTTTAGCAACAATGATATTTTTTGCATTTAATTTGCGTGTTCAATCCCTCGTAATATCTCTCATTTCTTATTTTTCAAAATTATTTAACAAACATAAGAGCCTCTTTCTTTTTTCTACAGGCATCAAATTATTTCCCATCTATTTTTGGTCTATATGTATATATCTTCCCCCTTAAAAAAATAGTAAATAAACAGTGCCTCCTTTTAAAAAAAAAAAATCAAAATTTAAGTTTTATTTCTTCATCTTACTAGTGATTCAACGCCAAATTTTTTCATGAATCATCAAATTAACATTCAATTCAAAACCTTGTCATCTTGGTTTTTGCAACCGTCCTGCGCCGCCAAAAGGTATTAGTGTTTGTTTTGTATTTGAATTAAGCTTTGAAATTATAAATTAAAAAACTAAAAATCAATGAGGAATTGGTTTGGTTGATCAACGAAGAGAGAAGATGGAGCATGTTACTCCTCTTGGATTCGATTACTCAGCAAATAGGAATGAGCAAGATGACAGTTGCAGACCCACTCATGCCTACAAGATAATTCAACTCTCATGCACAACACTTTGTACAACTTAAGCCACATCGCTACTATAACAACTATCATTCATATAGCCTATGAGTTAGTTCTAATCTTAACCGTTCTTTACAAACGTTAACATAAGAACAAATAAACCCATAAATTCAACATCTAAACAAAGTGTAATTTGCACAGATACTTATATCTTTTGTACAAGTCAAGGGTTTTGAGTGTTAGAAGGTATTTATCTCTCAATCTATATCTCCTATAAATTCAACATTTAAACAAAGTGTAATTTGCACAAATACTTGTATCTTTTTTGCAATTCTAGGGTTTTGAGTGTTAGAAGGTATTCATCTCTCAATCTATAGCTGTCCAGTTTATTTTGTTTTGACTTTCAATATTGGCATCGTTTCTGTATGCAGTTGTGCTCTCTAGATCGCATATGTTTTCTCCCCTTTGGCTGTAATCGTTTTTTAGTCGACGTATATTATTTTCTAATTCTGATACTTTATCATTGTTAATAAAATTGATTAGTTTGTAAAAAGAATGTTTACAAAGGACACCATTTAATAAATTTTGTCCCGAACATTTAAAAGTTCATAACCGGCCATATTTTATTAAATAACTAGCTAGTGGAAAGTGGAAACTACCCTTCAATGCCCTTGGAGACATTTAGCCCCTTCCTTTTTTTTTTTTTTTTTCTATTCATATTTGTACAGTTGTATAATTGGTTACCGGCTGTGCATAAGCTTGACCACCTCTATTTTACAATTAATAAGCTAATTATTAGCTTGATAGCTAGTGAGTAGTGTATTGCATTTTTTTTTTTAACAAACAATAGCATTAAGAGATTAAATTGTTAAATATTAAGAGGAAGAGAATCAGTGGGGTTGAAACCGCACCAGAAAGCATATGCATTATTACATTATGCCGCTACGGTAAAGTGTCATCTGCAGTGTATTATATATTTAACTATAAGGTTATCGGCAATTGATGAGTTGCCTTAATGGATAAATTTTTTTCTTCAACCTCCTGCGTTTTGTTGTAATAGAAAAAAATTATAAGATTCTTAGGTAATTAATAAGAAAACTTTAGGGCATGCAAGAAAGCTCTAAATGCTACTATTGAACATATGAAAACTTTAGGGCCTTAATTATGAGGGATCGATTAAACATGTATATCAACAAAACAAAAGAGCAAGTTGGATATCATATGCTTGGCTGTAAAGAACTCCTTTTGATGAGACTTCTTTGGTTAGAACATTATTGAGTTCTAGTAGTGCTACTGCTATAGATATTAAATCTCAACCGCATTACAAGATCATTCAGGACAGCAACAGAATCATGACTGCATTATATAGCTCTGATTAGATGTGGGTTGAGTCATGTCCAATATCTAAACCATTTCATGATCAAGTAGTATTTAGAATATTCATCGATCGTTCGCTTATTGTTGCAATTTCTTTTTTTTTTTTTTTCTCACTTTTCCAATAACTTTATTTATTTATTTATAAGTTCCTAGTGTCCTACTATGTTGTGCACTTTCCTCATGACCTACAAGCAAATTGGATGGTGGCAAAACCTATCCAAATCCTCCATTTGATTTTGTTTAATCGTAGAGTGTTTGTTGCATACATATTCTCCCAGCCCCATTATCCCTTTGACATATTCTGAGAACATACATACATATGATATTCCAGTATGAGCAGTAAGCATTAAACAATCCAATATATATATAGCAGGGCAGCGCTGACCAAGCTCTCCCACAGTATAGTATATTCCAAGACAAGGGCCAATTGTGTAGTAATTTGCACTTTATGTTTTGTTAATTAATAAGCATAATGTGGTTGTAGTTGTTTGATCATAATCGAGACCATGGTTACGTGTATAAATGTCTAAATCGTAAAGAATTATTATTTGCCCGACAAAATTTTGCCAAGTGTGCGGTAAATTGCACTTTATGTTTTGTTTATAAGCATAACGCTTGTATTTGATATTTGATACTCCAAATTAAATAGTCATTCTCCATTTTTCTCCAATCACAATTTCTCTTTTATTTTTATAAAAGAAGAGTTCATGCCAGATGAAAATTTTAAAGTCTCAATAACTCTCAAATCTTAAGCAACATTGTATGTGCATGGATCTCATACGAGTACGTACTGACGTACAGCTACAGAAGAGTAGTATAAAATCAAATAACTAAGCTGTATTCTCAACATGCGCATTATTCAGTTTGGGATTTGGTGCTTCAATCCAATGCATATGGCTAGCCGATACAAGCATGCTGTCTATTTTCCAATGGCAACAAAAGAACAAAAATCTTTCTTCTGGGGAAAGGTTGCTCCTTTGAAACTGAAAGATCACGGATTCGAATCGTGGAAAAAATATCTTTGCAAAACAAAAATAAGACTGCATATGATAGACACTTTATTAGCTTGGGGTCGCTCTTTTACTGGGTGGGATGGCGCCATGCTTAACATATATAGCTTTACGTGAGCTGGTCCGGTATGCTATGTCCGTAAATTTCATAGCTGAATAGTAAATAACTACCCTTTATATAATGATTTCACCTTTATAGATAGCAATGAACATATACGATTGCTGAGGGGGAAAAAGAAGAATATATAGATCATTTGCCATATAAAACTTATAAATAGGTAACCAAAACACCACTCAATTTCCCATATATAAGTAAAGTTCCAACTAATTGAAAATTGGGAAAGACATTTTATGAGAAGTTCTCATAGGCAACTATGGATACACGCTCATCACGCCTGTGAATTGCCGACTATTGGTCACCCAAGTTCGTGTCTATAAGTAGACAATTGTCGTATGAAGACTTGCTTTTGCTACGCTCCACTGGGGTTCCTTAACCAAGTCACTGTCTATGAGTCATGTATCACGTGAATATGTGTTATGGTAATGTCGATTTATATGTTAATCAACATGTGAGTTGATATGAACACGCTAATAAAAAATTAAAAAAAAACTAAAAAACGAACACAACTCGATTGCCACCCTAAGATCCAAGTTCAAACTTATTGAAAATTTGAAACTCATTTAACGAAAAATTCTCGCACGTAACTGTGGATGCGCACATTACTGTATAACAATTGTCATGTCACTTATCAGATTCTCAAGGATACAGAGCCTTTAACAAGAGGGATCCTCATTTTTCTAAAAAAATGGGACACCCTCTTGATCGTTAGATTGACTTTAATGAAATTGTGCGGTTGAGATTATGTGGTATGTGATTTAATCTCAACCACACAATTTCATTAAAGTCAATCAAACAGTCAAAAGAGTGCTCCCTATTTTAATTTTTTTAAAATGAGGATTCCTCTTGTTAAAGGATCCGCTCAAGGATAAGTGAGTGAGAGAGAGAGAGACACCAAACTGGAACCTGTAAAGTAACATCTGACCAGACCCGTAGACTGCATTCATATCATTTTGGGAGTGAATGATCAAAAACAAAAAGGAAAACTAATGAAAAGGGCTTAAAAACTTTGAGTTTTAACGATAAGGACAAAATAAAGGCTAAAGTGAATAGTACTAGATTTGACTTTTTAGTATAAAAATGTGGTTTTTCGTTAAAGTGAACAGTACCACAAACTTTTTGTTAAAACTCTCAAAACAAAACACATGAAGCTATATTAGCTAATACCTTTAGCTAGCTAGATTTTGGATTTATCAAGAGAAGGGGCAAATGGTAGGGATTCTCTGTCCACAAATCCAGTGGGGCCATACTTGGTCTCAACTTATGATGGGCCCCTGCAAAACC